CTTCTGTCACTCAATTGTCATGGTACAGTAATAATAGGAACATCCTTTTTTGGATGAATCTCTTAATCTTAAGAAGAACATTCTCAAAGAGCCTTAATGGTTTTGACAGTATTACAAGTGACTTAAGAAGCCATACTCGACCGGGCTCGGTGGCTCAGCCTGTAATCCCAGTGCTTTGGAAGGTCAAAGTGAGTGGATTGACTGAGCCTGAGGGTTCGAGACCCACCTGGGAAACTTGGCGAGACCTCATCTCTACAATAAATCAAAAATTAGCTGGGCATGGTAGTGCATGCCTGTAGTTCCAGCTACTTGAAAGGCTGAGGCGGAGCAATCACTGGAGCCCAGCAGGTCGAGGCTGCAGTGGCTACGCTCCCGGCCACTGCCCTCCAGTCTGGGCGACAGAGTGAGACTCCAACTCAAAAAAAAAAAAAAAACAAGAAGACATACTCAAAAAATGTAATGGGTTATACAATATTACAAGTAACTTAAGTCATCCTTACATATGGCTTCTGCTGGTGCCTCCTGAAGAGGCTACACTCTGACATTCCTTTAAAAAGTCCCATAAAAACTGGTTTTCTCCGAAGTCAAACTTCTCTCAATTCAAGAAGTTGAATTTAGTACATGGTTCCCTGAAATAAGTTTCCCACCTCCTATCACAGGCAGGGAGATTATAGTATTCATTTCATGTAACTTTCAAGTTCTGGTATTAGGCTTGTAGAATCAAGGTTGAACATGGGAGCCTTCTAATATTTGGAAATGTAGGAGGTCTATGTATGTATGTATGTGTGTGCTGAATGTCTCTAAACTATTATAAAGAGGCGTCCCTATTTGCTCAGTTTCTAGAACAGTTTGGTTCTCTATGGAAAGGCAGTGCCAGCAGCTGCATGCTTCATTTGACTCTCTCCCAGAGAGGATGGCTTTGGTTTATCAAAAAGAGTTCATGGAATGTTTTCAAAAGCAAACTTAATTCTTCCTAAAGACTTTAATGAATTTCATTCCCAAATCTGTCTTCATGTTGGCAAAAATTATCCCCAAAACCAAAAAGACAAAACGGAGGAGATGGCTAGTATTTCAGTCAGCTTCAGTTTCTTCTCTTCACAGACATCCTGCCTCAGTCTCCTGAAGCCTTCCTTGGCTGCCCTCACCCTGCAGCTCTCTAGCTCTCATCCATTTCTTTACAAAGAACATCCAACACACCAAATGTAGAAAGGTCACCAGTGCTTGTATCTGCTCTCTGACCTTTTATTCCTGCGGTTCTCAAAGAATCCAGTTTTAGCCCAGGGCAGAGTATGGCTTCAGGTAGACTGCTTTTCTTTTTCTTTTTTTAACTGGACAATCTTCATCATCATCCTCTTGCCTGGATTTTTCTACAGCAAAGTAAAACCTGTTCACAGGCCTATGTCCTGTCAGGGCTGTGAGCCTTGTGAGCCAAGATGGTGCCCGGGGGGTGTGGAAGCTGCTTCCATATCCTAGGCAGTCCATAGCCCCAGGCTTGGGAGTTGTGCACCTCAGCTGCCATGAGGCAACCTCCTCAGAGCACAGTGCAAACCCTTTTGCCTCTAATGCTCTTTGTCACCACATTCACAAGTTCACGAAAGAAAATTGCTCCCAATACAGAAGCAAGGCTTTGGGGTGACAAGAAACCGAGAGACAAAGGGCACCCTGCAATAGTTCTACTCACCACTGAATACTGAGTACTCAACAAGAGATGCTCACCTCCTTAGCCATATCAGCATTTAGCACAGTGCATGCAGAAGATGCCCCTGTAAATTACTGAGGGTGCCAAGGCAGAGGAGCAGCCAGGCCAGGTGCAGCACTTAATTCTCCACCCAACAAGTATTTCCATCACCTTGTACCAGTCCCTGAAAGTCAGGTCCTCTGATGCCACAAGCATTGAGCATGGGACACAGTGTCGCTCCCCAGGACCCTTTACATGACAGTGATCAGGTTCCCATGGGAATGGCTTCTCACAACACCACTGTCACCTCGGCACATGCTCAGCTGTGTCACTGCTAAAACAAAGGTACAAAAGAGTGGCAAATGACTAGGGGAACGAGCAGCCAGGGCTGAGGAGGTACAATGAGGCATGGAGAGCCGGCAAGGTGAAGGAAACTGGCAGCAGGGACAAAAGTTATTCAAGTGTATATGGGATTCTAGGTAGAGCCCGGGCTCTATAACCAGGTGGCATTCTGATAAGAGTACATCTGGGTATCAGAGAGCAGGCTGTAGACCAGACTCCGGCAGGTTACATGGAGCCAGTAGTTGTGTGGATGGTTAGAGTTGAGATAAAGAGTATGTAATGGAAGAATTAAGACAAGAAAAACCAAGTTGTTAGGAGTACAACTTCAAAATTAAGGAAGCAAGAGCTCTGCTGAAGTTGAAGGACACAGCAAAGTAAGAAGAGTGACCAGCACCAGGACAGACCTAGCTTAGTCTTTTATAAGACTTCTGTTACTGTAGGAGCTGTTGAAGGCAGGCCGGGTGGAAACCAGCAATTGGGAGCACCTGGTTGATGTAGAGAGTGGGTAGGTAAGAGAAAACACCAGCCTCCAGCAGGCATATCTTGCTAAGCAAATAGAGAGATAAACAGGACAAAGTCAATGAGAGTGTCCACAAGTGGTACTCAGTCCAAAATGGCAAAACCAAATATGACACTGGACATGCTACATGACAACTAGACATATTCAATATGATTCAGCCTTATTTCCACATGGAGGTCCCTTGTAGAGAGAGCATGTCTGAAGTATGGAGACAGCATGTCAATGTGGAAAGAATGTGGAGTTCAGAATCAGACAGTCTGAAACTCAATTCTGCCTCTTACTAGCTGTGATTCTGGGCAAGTTACTTAACTTCTATGAGTCTCAATTTATTCATCTGTAAGCTATTTTAATAATAGATTTTGTCATAAGATTTTGTAATAATTAAATTAGAGAACATCTGTACAGTGATTAAATAGAATACCTGGCCAAAGAGTCGGTGCTTGATAAATGATAGCTATTATCTTACAAATAGTCCTTGTAGTGTACATAATACTGTTATTGCACATAGAAACATTCTTTCTTACATATATAGTCTATAATAATAATGATAATAATAAAAATAATACTGTGAATACTAGCATAGGAAACCCCATACTTAGCAAGCTAAACCTGCTTCTAGTAACACCTACAAGTCAAGCCAAATAAGTTAAATGCATATAATGGAGCTTGCAGCTTTCCCCTGAAGTCTGTTACTATGCTGGCAAATTGCATTTTACACAAATCAAACATCATATCTTTTCCCGCCTTCTCGCTCCCCTTACCTTCCTTCACGAATTACCAGCATTGCCTGCACCATTCTGACAATCACTTGGCAGGGAGTCAGCACTGCCATAGGTCACATTTCCTTTAGGAGGTAGTAAATATAGGCTTGGGCAGTAACTGGGGGTGGGGGTGAGTCTTAAATATGAGAGTGACATATTTTTCAAAGACAGGGTCTTACTATGTTGCCCAAGCTAGAGTGCAGTGGCACAATCACAGCACGCCGCAGCCTCAAACTCCTGGGCTTAAGCAGTCCTCCCACCCAGCCTCCCAAGCAGCTGGGACTACAGACCCTCACTATTACAACCGGTTCGAGGGTAAACATTTTTTAAAAGTCAGATATGGTAATCCTCAAAGTGTATCTTCTCATGTGAGAGTCAAGGACATTTGTAGAGTGTGTTATAATTCTTATACATAAACTATTATATTTAACTTCAAAATAACTCTAAAGGAAGCAGGATAAATATTATTAATTCTGGTTTACAGATGAGAAAATTTATGAAGATCAGAGATGTCCTGGTAACTTACTCTAGGTCACAAACTGTGAAGTGGTAGAACCAGTCTGGAACCCAGATCTCTGTATTTGGAATTTGAAGCTTGTCCACCATAATTGTTCTATAACCCGTGGGTGTGGCAGGTACATTTTAAAACATCTATTTATATTTGATATTTTTCTCACTTGAAAGAAAGCTCTAATTTCTTAGAAATGTAGCTTGCTTCTGAAATGGTTTTATTTTATGTTGCTCATTGTATAAGTATGGCATTTAATTATATTTACAGAAAGGTAATCTCTTTTAATTTGATGACTATTTATTATTCTTGAATTGATTTTAATGCATCCAGTATTTTAAAGTTTTCTTTAAGAGATTTTAAATTGAAAAATAATATGTGCACTCTATTATATCGGAAAATATTCCCTTTCAGGGACTAGTAAATTATTTACTTCATTGCCCTCAGAGATAAATTATTCATTATAAAAATGCTTTTATGAGTGAAATCATATGATGCTTATTGTGACAGTTTAGGATTCTATGGGATTTCATATAATTTTTTTAAATGGTACTTTTGTTTTTTAAAAAAGTTAACAAAATTATTCAGGTCTCTGTGAAATAAACGTACTGTTTAATTAAAGGCCTATGTTTTTTTGACATATGATATGTCAACATGGACCAGCTACAGAAATCTATAGTGGATAATATTTATTAGCCAAGGTGGCATTTCTAGCTCAGCAGGCATTTCAGTCAATTTTAGTCTTCAATGTTTTGTAGTCCGGTTATCTGGTTATTTGAATACTTTGTATCAATTTGTCTAGGTAGAAATCAACACCTAAGCAAATATATTTGTACTAGTAGGTGATCTTCCATATTGCTCGGTACCTTTTGTCAAATTTATAGTTACACTTACACACATACACACACTCTTTAATTCCTTTCTCAGAGTTAGTTATCTCATACATTTTGTCCCTAAATAAATTTTTTGCACAGATTTCTTTTTTTAAAATATGAAATCTCTAGCTGAGGTAAATTTCATTTGCTAACTGTGAATAGATGCTTTGTTCACTGCAAAAACAGATTTAGAGAAGCAATCTTCAAGATCAATAGAAAGAAGGAAACTAAACGAATTGGCCCTTGTCAAAGAAACAGAGGCTTTCCATCTTATTCTTTGCCTGTTTTATTTTACTATATAAACATGATCACTTACCAAGTGGCAAAAATGCAAGACGGTTTCCAGCCATGGAGAGCTCATTGAGGCTGGGCAGCTGGCAGAGATGGCGCGGCACATACCATAAACGATTTCGGTCCACAGTGAGGTACTGCAGAGAAAGGCACAGGTGAAGCCTCTCGGGTAAAGTTAGCAAACGATTGGTAGAAATGTCTAGTGTCTGCAGCTCCTTCAAATCGCCAACTTCTACAACCAAAATCAAAATTGAGATAAATCGCATCCTGATGAACTTAAATAAATTAAATAAATGAATCAATACCGCAACAGTTCAACCAAACAAAATCAGTAGCTGTGACTATTTCCCAGCATTTAGGGCTAGTGTGCAAATAATGCAACCTATATAGATGTCTTTAAATTAGCTTGCCAGAATTTCTTAAATGAAGAAAAGGGCTGGCAGGGAGAAAGGAGATACACAAAGTGGTGAATCTGAACCAGAAGTGTGTACTTTTGGCTTCTGCTTCTTGATGAAATGAAGTTGTTGTTAGGGTAAGAAAAGAAGAATGACAGTTACTTCAAGGTACCTGGTTTTTGCTACTTGTGTGATTTTACTGTTCATTTAAGTAGAAAAAAGGAGACATACATTTACAGCATTCAAATAAGTATAATTTGTTCACATGAACTAAAGAGAAGATTTCTGGAGTAAAAAGTAGGATATCTTTTGGAAATTTTAATAATAAAGATTATAATAATGAGATGAAATTACTATTATCTAATGTTTCTAAATACTGTTCAACCATGTGGCTTTTTTAAAACCCAAAGTATACATATTCTACAGATATTTCATTTGTTTCATGGTGAGTGCAATTATGTCCTTTTCATACATCAAATCATTAAGTCTTGAGTGAAGATTAGGAAGTTCTTTACAAGAATCTTAGTCCTTCTCAGAGGAAATCACCATTGTAGAATAAGGACATTTTTACTCTTTTCCAGGACAGCACACTCCACTCAAGACTCTACAGCAAGCATTGTGCAGGACAGGTCTACTTCTTCAACATCACAGATACTTACATGTTGGAGACTATGATGCTACCTCTTGCCCTTCCCTAATCCTCTTAGGTTTAAGGTTTTCCACACTCTACCATTGGACAGTATCTCTCTGTGCACATTCTAGTTTGTTCAGGACCTGGATTAGTCATAGGACGTCTTCTCTATTATCCATATAGAAGATAATAAAGTCTTTTGCCCTCTTGGATGCTCAATTAAGCAGATTAGCTTTTCCTATTACTATAGACCAGGTGGTAGCAAACCATGGCTCACAGGCCAAATCTAGCCCATGGCCTGCTTTTGAACCGCCTGCAAACTAAAACTGGTTTTTACAGTTTTAAAGAGTGGTAAACAAGGTTTTTACATTTTAAAGACTGGTAAACAACAATAAAAACAAAGAACAAGTGACAGCGACCATATATTGCCTGCAAAGCCTAAAGATATTTACTATCTGGCCATTTATAGAAAAAAATTGCTGGTCTTTGCTATAGACTTTTTTTTTTTTTAATTTTTATTGTAAAGATGTAGGGTACAATTCAGGGTTTGGTATACAAACATTGATCATGCAGGTACCCCTGTTAATAAAGTATGAGAAGCACTTTTATATATTTTACTTTAAAAAAGTAATACAATTGCAAAAATACATAACTTCCAGTTAATTTTCTAATAATTACAAATTTGTGCTAGGAAGTTTATACTTTATTGTTCAATTTCCCTGAATAAAATATACATTTGAAGATGCGTAGGCAGGATTTAGTCTCAACTTGCGACTCTGAATGGGAGTGTTGTTCTATTTGAACTTAGCCAGTACACATGCGAGTCAATTTCACTTATGGCTCCATTGGCACGGTATTCCATCTAGCTAAGTTCATCTGTCTTAATTTCACAAAACAAAACTGTTTCTGATTTGGAGTGTGTGGGGATGAGGGAATTGGGGGAAGAATCACCATGTTTTAGAAGTGAATAAAAAGAAACACAAAGAAAAAAGAAAAATAAACAATAAACCTTCTGATCTAACTTCACAAAATTATTACAGGAGTGAAGAGGAACAGAAGAGCAACCAATCCCTTACATACCATGGGGCCGGGTGCCAAGAGAAGAATGAGACAAAGCCTCGGTCATTGAGAATCACATCACATACAATAGACAGTGTATGTCAGGAGCTCAGAGAAGAAGAGTTAAATGAAGGCTTGGAGAAGCTCTTCCAAAATGTATTGGAGATGGGGATTTGAATAGGGCAAAAGGAAAATGGATACAGCATTCCCAGCAGGGCATGGGGGCGGGGTTAAAAGCATGAGGAAAGGCAAGGAAGTAAGAAACTAAATATAGCAAGCACAGTGGGCAATTTGGGGCCAAACAAGTGCCAAAGACACCAATGAAAGAAGAACAGAAAATAAATGCAATATAGAGGACTTGGTGGAGACAAGGATGGCAATGAATACTGGGTAAAGAAGTTGGATGTACTATAGTGAGAAATGCAGATTCTTTTTTTTTTTTGAGTTGGAGTCTCACTCTGTCACCCAGACTGCAGTGCAGTGGCCGCTCCCGGCCACCGCAGCCTGGACCTGCTGGGCTCCGGCGATCCTACCGCCTCAGGCTTCCAGGTAGCCGGAATTACAGGCATGCGCTACCACACCCGGCTGATTTTTTTTTATTTATTGTAGAGATGAGGTCTCACTGCCCAGGCGGGTCTCGAACCCGCGGGCTCAGGCAATCCACTCACCTCAGCCTCCCAAAGGCGCAGAATTACAGGCTGAGCCACTGAGCCCGGCTATTGAAATGCAGATTCTTGAGGATGAATGTACTCTTCTGAAAGTAAGACTGACAAATATGCAGAAAGCAATGATATGGAAAGAGATCGTAGGATGAGAAAACGAGTAGACATTTGACTAGAACAGAGGCAGTGTGATAGAATTTGAAGGCAAATTCCAGAGATATTTTAATAAAAGCATGAGACAGGCTTGGTTGAATATGAAAAATGATGAAATAGAAAAGACAGTTTTACACTTCTAGACTATTAAACTCCAGTATGCTGATGCCTATGCTAAAAATTTATAGAAAAAAACAATTAAAATTTTATCAATATTTCTGAACTGCGTTATCTATAAACAACCTAAAGGTAATAGAAAAAAATCCATAAAAATGCACAAGGAAGCAAGCAAAATAAATTATTTTAAATACTATCTCAAATATAGTTAAATGTGCAAAGAAGTATTTTGACATGGCTGCAAGAATTACTAAGGTCTGCAATTGTCTTTCATTTTAAATTTGTTTTGCGCTAATGTATTGTAAAATGGATCAATACTTTGTGATTATAAGCTTAAATTTTGATTAAAAATATTGATATAAAGATTCAAGAAACTCAGTAAAGACCAAGTAAGAAAAACACAAAGAGATCATACCTTTACACATCATATCAAACTGTGAAAGACAAAGATAAATACAAAATCTTGAAATCAATAAGAAATTCACTCACCATGTTCAGGGAACAAGAAAGAAGATAACTAAAAAATATACAGTAAAAAAGTCAACATAGTAATTGAAATTGTGCACAAAAATTTTGACATAAAAAAGGCAACAAAGGAAGTTCAGAAGAACAGAAACATACGAGATATCCAGAATACAAATGGCAAATTGGCTGATGTAAAGACAACCATATCAATAATTATATTAAATGTGAACAGACTAGGTCTGAGCCCTGGGGTCTGAAACCAGCTTGGATAAACTGGTGAGACCACATTTTTACAATAAATAAAGAAATTTAGCTGGGTCTGGTGGCACATGCTTGTAGTTCCAGCTACTTGGAAGGCTGAGGTGTAAGGATCGCCAGAGCCCAGCAGGTCGAGGCTGGTGTAGCCATGAGTGTGCCACTGCACACTCAGTCTGGGTGACAGAGTGAGACTCTGACTCAAAAAAAACCCAAACAAAAAGTGAACTATAAATAGTGAATATTTAATGTGACTAAACAACACATTAAAATTGAAGAGTATGTCAGACTACATTAAAAAAAAAAAACACCAATATGCCATCTATGAGAAACATTTTAGATTCAAAGGCACAAATAGGTTGAAAGTAAAAGCATGAAAAATATATCATCCAAATAATAACCATAAGGGAGACTATATTCATATAAAAAAGACATTAAGATAAGAAATACCATATGAGACAAGGAGGAATATTTCATAATGGTAAAATGGATAATAGTTTAGAAAGATATGACAATTATAAATTCATTCACACCTAACAAGAGAGTCCAAAATTACATAAAGCAAAAAACTGACAGAACTGAAAGGAGAAGTAGACATTTTAACAATGATAGATGACGATTTCAATTTACCATTATCAGTAACTTACAGAACAACTGGACAGAAAATCAGCAAGCATATAGAAGACTTAAATTATCCAATCAACCAAAAGAGTTTGGGCCATAATTCCAAAAGACAATCCTGAATATCATAATCCCTATTGTTGAAATCCCAAAAGATTGGAATCCACAAAGTCTAAAATCCCATATGAATATTAAAATCTTGAAAGACTAAAATCCCCAAGATGCAATTTTGGAAAAAATAGTTTTAAAAAATTCTTTTAAAAAGATTATTGCTGGGCTCGGTGGCTCAGCCTGTAATCCCAGCACTTTGGGAGGCCGAGGTGAGTGGACTGCTTGAGCCTGCAGGTTTGAGACCAGCCTGGGCAACTTGGCGAGACCTCGTCACTACAATTAAAAAAAAAAAAAAAAATTAGCCGGGCATGGTAGTGCGCACCTGTAGTTCCAGCTACTTGGAAGGCTGAGGCAGAAGGATCGCCAGAGCCCAACAGGTCAATGCTGGGGTGGCAATGAGCATGCCATTGCACTCCAGCCTGGGCGATGGAGTAAGACTCTAACTCAAAAAAAAAAAAAAAAAAAAAAGAATATTTACATTTTAAAAAGGGGATTTATTTGAGAAACATAAAAACATAACATTTCACAGGCCATTTTATACAATAAAACAGGCAATAATAATATACATCTTTTTGCAAGCATCAACACTCAGATATACTAACAACAGTCACAGAGTATAACAGTTATGAGCCAACAAACCATATCATAAAGAAATATGTCAAAAAGAGAAATGTATAAGTATATATTACTATGGTTAGTAATTGTGTGCACCGAGTTTTAACTGTGGTCATCTGAAATACTGTGATGAACAACCTAAGTCTTC